TCCAAACCTATAAAGAAGATGTTTTGAAAGAATTTTTCAAAGAGTTCATCTCCCTTCCAGTTATTTCCACTTTGTCATTACTCGGTTTACCGAAAAATGCAATATTTTAAACGAAATACGAGTCTCGGAACATCGCAGAAACATTTGGAAAGATATTTTGAAATGAGGGTTTTAAGGTCTAAAATAGTTTGGCCAAAACGGGGTGTAAGGTTTGGAATTAGAGCTTGACTCCAAATTTCTTTGCTAAGAATGCAAAAGATTACACAGTGTAACTTTCATCATCAGCTGTTTGGAATAAAGTGCCCAAATCTTAAGGGCTGTAAAAAATGAGGTATCTACAATAAGCTTGGTTTGTCAAGTTAGACTCGTTTATCTTTATTTAAATTATATAATAAATATATTATTTATATATTAAATAATATAAATAATATTTTTTATTTAAATAATATAAATAATAAATTATTGAGCCGAACTCGAATTTCATTAATATTAACGAGCCAAGCAGAGCCGAGCTCGAGCCCAGTTCCTTATCGAGCTGAGCTTGAGCTCAATAAACTAGTTCAATAAGTAAATGAGCCGAGCTCAAGCTCAGCAAAGCTCTGCTCGATTCGATTCGTTTGTAGCCCTAATCAAAACCACCAACCAGGCAAACACCATCCCCTCTCCCACTCGCTACCCCTCACCACCGAGTACCAACCCCTCCTTCACACGCTATTCCACAAATTCATGAGTTCTCCCCATGCATTCTCTCCACAATCCCATCTCTATTCTTATTTCTCCTTTGTTTCTCAATTGACCTCTTACGCCTGTTTTCTCTCTCTCACAACTGGTCCCTTCCATGTGTGTCCTCCATTTCACTCAAAAATTATTTCATAAATTCAACCTATCATGTAGTAATGTCGTCACCTAATAATAGACAAACACATGACCGTTTTATTTAAAACAAAGGAAAAAAAATCTCATTACATATCCCTCTATAATTAGAAGGGCACACCGGTTTTAATTATTTGCCAAAAATTGTATCTAATATTATTACAAAAAAAGTAAAATGGTTCAATCCAAAGCAAATAACTCATCAAAATAAATATTGGATGGTTCTCATTAATAAAATTTGCTTTGTGCCTCAATATATTACTTTCTGGTTTTCTTTATTCAAATGATCAAAAACATTATTTAAAACCTGGAAGATCAAGAAGAATATAGAACTATATATCAATGGCTATATCCTCACCCTCTCCCTCTTCCTCGGCGTAGTGTTACAACAGGGGGCGGAGGCTGGAGGGGTCATGGCCCTCCAACTTTCTCAAAATTGCCAAGTTCATATGTATGCTATTCCAAAAGAAAAATTGTGTATTATATAATGGCCCCCAAATTCAATTTTACTCTCAAAAAATTTGTAAATTCCACAATATAGTAGAGTTGTCTTTCAAAATTTAATGACTCATAATATTCACATAAATATTTATAATAATGTTATGATGATCATAATAGTTTCTTACCATGTTTATCATATCATGTGTCAATATTACATTAGTATCAAGTATGAATGGTTAAGGTAATAAACAAATTGTAATAAAAAAAATGATCATCCTAACATTATTGAAAATGTTAATCCAGCTCATGTTAAAAAGTTATTAGTAATCACATGTTAAAAAATCTTGTAATAAACAGATAATATAATTTATTTAATTGGTATGAAATCATATTAAATAAAAGAAATTATTAACAACAACTAAATTTTTAGAGAAAGAACATAATGTACTTATGAGTTTTTATAATTTATTTATTGGAATCACTTGTGAAACTTTATGGACCTAAAGATATTGACATGTTTACTGTTTATCTATAAATCTCTATATTTTGACATTCTTAACGATAAAGCTTGTACAAATAATATTTAATTAAGATTATTTTCTTATAATCTTATTAGTACAATTAGTCTCTATCGAACAATATTTAATAATGATTTAATCAAATAAAATTCGAATCGATCCATCAACGACTCGGCAGATCATCTATCCCATGACTTCCCTTTGGTAATCTGGCCCCCCCACCGGGCCTCCGTCCCTGGTAACACCCTTTTAATTTTATAGTTGGTAAAATATTTGTCAATTCATGTTTATTTTTTGTTAAATACGACTCAATTTATGTTGTGCACTCAATACTTATATTAGTGTCTGCCATGAGAAATAAATGCCAAAAATCACCTCAAACCTCTCTAAAGAATGAGAAATTTCAGAATATGTGGATTTTGATTTCAGGAAATAGACATGAAGCTATACTCTTTTTTTTGTCATCGTCGGGAGGGGAGCAACTCTCTTCAAAACTCCATTTATATGAGAAATTATTCAATGCTATTGGAGCAAGTGTAGGTGATGCTCCAAATGAATAACTATTAATCTAAATTATGGGATTCACTACTTTTGTGTTTTTAGGAGACAAAGTGTCAAATGTCTACTTGTAAATGGAATAAAATATTGCTCTAGGAGCATTGGATAATTTCTCCAATTATATACTTCTTCATATTTCATTTTGTGGGCTCCACGACATTCACGATGGTGATCTGAATAGCTCATCTCATAACTCAAGCAGATAAGAACATATATGTAAAAAATTAACTTGATCGAAAATTAAAAGCCTAACTAACTTATCGTATTTTGTTTTATGAAATTGATGGTATTAGTTAAAATTATATTTACCATCATTTTCATAAAACAAGACACGATTAGTTAGTGTCTATATCTATTCTAATTAATTTTTTGTATATATGTTCTTCGTTTTTAAGCCTACGAGATGAACGATTTGGATCATTTTTGTGGGCCTTGTGGAGCTCAAGAAGTGAAGTCGTGAACGATATGGAGAAGATGGAGCATTGAGGGGAGCTGATCCCTATTGGTAGCTAGAACATGTTGGAATTAGGACATAGTGATATTATAATTGTGGTAGTATTGAAATTAGGAAACAGTGATATTGTAATTATGGTAGTGTGTATAAAATCTGTGATTTTGTCAAGTACAGATTTAATGCCTTTTTTTTTTATCTTCGTTTTCTATTTTGTAATATTATTTCATTATAAATACAAGGTTCTACCTCATTCATAGGTAAGCCAAATAATTTTTTTCATTTTTTTTTGGTATCAAAGTTGAATATAGGGTTATGACACAAGATACTTGTGAGATTCTATGACTACGTTCTATTTTGGCGAAGTTGGGATTTGAAGAGACTGCTCCTGCGTCTTTATTTTGTGATAACAAGTTTGCTATTATACTATTTTCTGATTCTGCCCTACATGAGCATACTAAGCATATAGAGACTGATATACATTTTATTCGAGAGAAGGTTCAGATTGGTATTGTGAGACCATTCTTTGTCTCTTCTTCTAAGCAGTTTGCAGATATGTTCACCAAGTCTGTAGGCCCAACATTACTCTAGTCGTCTATCGACAAGCTACGTTTATTGAATATCTTCACACCAGCTTGATGGAGAGTGTTGGAATTAGAAAATAGTGATATTGTAATTATAGTAGTGTGTATAAAATCTATGATTATGTCAATCACAAATTTAATACATTTTTTTATCTTTGTTTCTTATTTTGTTCGTTTTCTATTTTGTAATATTGTTTCATTATAAATAAGGTGAATTACACTAATAGTCTCTATAGCTTGGGGCTTGTGTCACTTTGGTCCATGACTTTTCAATTGTGACACATTTAATCCTGAAATTTGAATCTTGCTCCAAATAAGGATAATTGAAGATATTATTAGATTTTTCAAGGATAAAATCGTCAATTTGATAAAATATAAATTAATTTGACAAAAATAAATGTCAAACAAATTTTTTTGAATTTTTTAAAATTATTTCTACCTACTAAAAATAAAATTATGTAAAATTAATAAATCTTTTAGACATTTATTTATTTTTTTACCAAATTAATTTTTATTATGTGTTTGGATGATAATCATGTAAAATTAATTTTTAACAATTAATTATGTAATTTTTATTAATTTTACATAATTTTATCATTGGTGGATAAAAATAATTTTTTAAAAATTAAAAATATTTTTTTGACATTTATTTTTGTCAAATTAATTTATATTTTATTAAATTAACGATTTTGCCCTTAAAATTAAACAATGGTATTTTCAATTGTCCTCATTTGGCACAAGATTCAAAATTCAGGGTCAAAAGTGCCACAATTGAAAAGTCAGGAATTAAAAGTGACACGAATCCCAAACTATAGGGACTGTTAGTACAATTTACCCTTATAAATACAAGATTCTACGTCATTCATAGGAAAGTCAAATAATTCTTTTCTTTTTTTTTCAACATGGAAGCCGAAAACATCCATATTCAGTAAAGACCATTGATTCAACTAATATAAAATGAGCTACTGTATTTCTTGAAATGAGGTCATGTGTAAGCTAAGAAAACAAAGTTTCATGACATTTGATATACCTATCACTAACAATGGTGCATTGCAAGCAATTCTAAATACATATCACCAACAACAATGCAAATTGAAGTAAAGCATTTCTAGAAAAGCCACTAACAAAGCCTACAGACCATACTTACGAAGGAGAGAGAAGCAGTGGAAGATGGGTATATGTCTTCAGACTTTACATTTTCAGATAATGAATTCCTGCAAAAGCTTGTAAAGCAGCCATTGGAACAGCGTGGTAAATAATTTCCTTGAAGAAAAGGGTAGATTAACGAGAACTTCCAAACATGATCTACGCTCGAGCTCACAAGGCTCCGCTCGAGCGGACAGAACAAAAACACAAAAAATTACAATTGAATCAACATAATGTTTTGTCTCCGGATTTGACAACATAGGTAGTACCTTCTCTGAAAAGCACAATTCGGGTTGGATTCGCATCTAAACACTCATAGCCTCATTGAAATAAAAGTGCAAAAAAAAATTACAACTCAAAGGAGTTTTGTCAAATGGGTTTGCCAAGAAATAAAACCTAACACTTCCAAACATGCGATCCTTTGAGAGGTGTTTTATGTAAATTCCATATCACTAAAATTACATGGAACAATGAGATCACAATAATATCCGAAACATACGGTTGCCAATTGGTTAAATGCTATAAATCTGAATACCAATCCACTATTCTTAACAATAGGTTCTTCCTAGAGACTTTTTGGTTCATCATGCTATTGCTCGAGGTTCACAAGCAACTATATTGTAGTAAAAGGTACTTTAAATTCAACTGATTCCAAAAACCAAAAACTATATGGATAGTAAAGTGTAAGTAATAGGTAACGAGGACTTATTGATGATCAATAGATGGTTCCTTTTTTTGGACAGTTTGATGATCAACAGATGGTTCCTTTTTGTGGACACTTCTCTTTAAAAGATCTCCAAATCTCCTCAACAATGCTCTACTTTTTCTCTGTGCATTTCTATGATCATTTTCATCGCCAAAGTGGGATCCTTCTAAATGTTCCAAATCTTCTGAATTTATTGTTTCTGCATCGTCCATGAATGAAGAAGGCACTCTTCTGTGAACAGGTGTATGGGGCTCTGATTTTGGCGATTCTGTGGTATCAAATATTGACCCCTTGAGTGCCTCAGACTTTTTGGGATCCTCATCAGCAACATTCTCATTTACATATTCAATTGGAATTTTCAGCTCACTGAGATCGAAACTAAAGGCTTTGTTTAGTTTTTTCCCATCTTCAGGCAACCCGGGTATTGAATTTCTAGACTTGAATATCTCCCTTTGCTCCTTGTCCTCAGTCTTCGACTCTTTTGTTGACGCTAAAGAAAGCAACTGCTTCAACTCCTTGATTCTCTTTTGTGCTTTAGCTTCATTGACCCTAAGGCGTTCATTTTCTCGGGTAAGAAAATCAAAAGTTTCATCCTTTTCAGCAAGGGAATCCTTGAGTTGGGAATTTTCATCCCTAGCAATGCTTGCAGCTTCTTTTGCAACACTAGCCTCATTTAGGGCCTGCTTAAGTATATCCCTCAATTTGAAATTTTCTTCCCTTGCCATCTTACTTGTGTCATTCGCTGCCTTTAGGGACTCAATCAATTTGATATTCTCTTGTTGTGCAAGAGTCTTCTCTTCTTCGGCGCTTTTTATACAACTGACAAAGCCAATCTCTTTATCATTCCATGCCAAAAGTGACTCCTCGGCTTCCAATCTGAGTCTGTCGACTGTGTTTTTGTACCTCTCAGTTTCTTTATATGCTTCATCCAATAGCTTTTGATACCTATCCTCAGTGATCCTTTCCGTCCCCTTTGATTGTTCTGCCCCTTGTTTTATGTGCTCTAGCTCTGCTTTGGTTGAGCTGAGTTTTTCCTTCACTTGATTGGCTTCTGTTGCAACTTCTTTTAGCACTAGAGCTAGATCATCCATGGCCTTCTTGCTCTTCTCCTCTGCCTCAATTGCCAACTTCAATTCACTTTTAAGTGAATTCATCTCCTCAAGTAGATTGTTGGATTTTAATGAGGCAACTTTCTCACCCTCTTGCGCACGATTCAAATTCTCTTTTGCTAATTGAAGCTCAGACCGGAGACTTTCAATAGTTTCTTTCATGGAATCTACATTCTCGTGATTGCAAGGCAAAACCTCCAACTTCTCTATCTTCACACGAAGAGAAGTCATTTCAAACTTGGATTCTTCAAGTTCAATCTTGGTTTGCTCAAGTTGTTTCGTTTGGGATGCCACTGTATCATACATTTTAGTTTCCGACAACTTTCCTCTCTCTATTTCATCCTCAAGTTCTTGAATTCTTCTCTTACTTTCAGACAACCACCTCATTGCCTGGGCCTCAGAGGCTTTCATGTTACTCAGCTCCTCTTTCAACCTATCAAATGACACATCTCTCTCTGCCGATCTGACCTCAAATTCTTTTGCCTTTTCAAGTTGAAATTTCAACGACTCGATGCTCTTATCTTTCATTTTCATTTCTCTCGTTGAATCAGCTAACGATTCTTTGATGGTATTAAGCTCTGCATGTGCCTCTGCCTCCTTTCGAGAAGACAATGCCTCACTTAGCTTCATGTTAGCCTCCTGCGCCACCATTTTCATCTCTCGGAGCTCATCAAGCGCACGATCTCTTTCTTCCTGCACCGCACCCAAGTGCTGTGTTGTAATCTTCAGCTCCTCCTCGAGCTTACCTGCGTGTTGCTGCATCGTCGAAATTCTAGCACTTTGTTTCTGCATCAAGTTACATAAAAACCCATGATAAATCTCAACCCCATTGAATCAATTTAACATGACAATATATGGGCTATCCAACGTGCTTGAGACTCCCGCTAAAGCAAGGTCTAGGGTCTGGGAGGGCAAGACAGCCTTATTCCATTTTCTGGAGAGGCCACTTCCTTGAACCCGCAACACCAGACAGTGTGGCCACAGGTTAAACGCTAAAAGGAAGCCTTATTATATTGTTCCTACAAAAATTTGGGACATTGGACAATAAGAATCTATTGAGATTTTTTCCTTAAGTGACCTACCGGTTGAGCCACCTCTGCCACCAGAAATACTAACAAGCAGCGCAGAGATACTAACAACAGACGTTACTGTTGAGTTAAACCATCCTTTCTTAACCCAACAATATAACACATACAATAAAAATAAAAAAATAGAAAAAAAAAGGTAAATTACACCAACTTTCCTAATATTTGAAGAAAAAACAGTAAGTTTTATAGTTTTAGTATAATTACATTGGGTAAAGTTTTAATTCACATACCCCTCAAATCTTTTTTCATCAATAATTCATTAATAATATTAATAAAAAAATAAAATTGTCATCTATCTTATATTAAAATATATATGTTTTTGTTTATCTTTGTTTTCACACACCATTCGTAATTTCGATCCATTTAACATTACTAAAAAAAATAAAAATAAAAATAAGATATTGGTGTAACATGCCAAAACTTCAAGCATAACATGTCCGTCTAATTATCCACACACAAAAGAAAGATATGTATATAAACCTACCTCGGACAAATTAGCGAGTTTGGAGGGCTTTTGTTCCACAGGTTTAAGGGCGTTTGAATCAATCTGAGAGATCAGAGGGTCACCTCTACAAAATTTCGTTGCAGAGAAGGTTCTAGACAGAACCGACGTGTGGTTCTTTTTCCCGAAATCAATATGCCCCGATCTGAAAACCGCGTCATTCAATTCCAAAATCTCATTATTATAAAAATAAAGTTGTTCTATGGTTACATGAATACCCCTAAAAAAAAACCCACGTAAAAGCACGAATCAAACTAGTAATAGCACTACAATACAGACAAGAAACAAACGCAAAAAAAAAAAAACTCAAAAAAAAAAAAAAAAAAAAAAAAAAAATTGAGCAGAGAGCGAAAAGTGGTACCTGGATTTAGAGCGTAACATTGTTGGGTATGGAATAATCTCTGGCTATGTAATTACCTCCCTATCTTTGGAAAATCAGAAGGACAAAATCACCACAAAACTATACAAAAAGTTTCAGACACAATCGAGAGAGAGAGAGAGAGTTTGTTAGACAACTGCTACCGGCTTTGAACAACACACAGTCCGGAGTTGGCGGGGTTTCCTCTAAAAACGAACCTAGAGAGAGAAAGAAAGAGAGATTTAGAGAGAGAGAGAGAGAGAGAGAGGGTTGGAGGAGAGTAGTTTGGCTTTGGCGGATACAATTTGGAATTTCGAAGGGCGTGTTTGGCAGTTTGACAAGATTGGGCTCCAAATATTGTGTTTATAACGAAAGTGTCCATCCGTTGTCTTGACTTTTCTCTTTGGCCGGCCAACATGATGTCAAGAACCTTAATTATACTTTATTAAAATAATTAGTAGTTAAAAACCTTGGAAATTGTCTACTTTTTTTTTTTTTTTTAAATAGTCAATGGCTCTCATTTGGATTCTCTTTCTTCCAAGTAAGAAACCTAGATCTACGTTTTAAATGCATAAGGTTGTCATTATTGTCAAATTTGTGTTTGTTTGCATAAAATAAAATAATAAAAAAAAAAAATTCACATATGATTTCAGACTTTCTTTTTATTGGATTTTGAATATAATAAATTTTTTTGAATATTCTATCGTTAAAGTATAAAACAAATAATATATCGAAGACTTGTTAACATTTATCAAAATTTTATTAAGGTGATTATCTTCCATTTATTGATGATGAATCAAGGTTACCTATATTCTGTTTGAGATTGAGATGGACTAATAATATTAAAAAATTTAATTTTTGTTATTAAAAATTATTAAGTTATTTGTCATTAGGTTAAAAAAGTCAAATGCCATATTAATTTTTTTTTATTTACACAATTTATTTCTAAACACATTATTTTTTGGACCCATGAATCCGAACAGGACCGTTGAGCTAGTAGACTGAAGAGAATCTACTCCTATCTACACCATGCACTCATTTTCAAAATAAAATTCAAAGTAAAATTTCATGATTCATAACATTTTTACTTCTATATTTACCCGGGGAAATTTTTTTTTATTTCCCTTGTCATTCTGGATGCTTAGTTTAGTTGAAAATTCAATAGTAGAAACTTTCTTTTTTATTTTAGGTGCCAAGGAAGGAAAGAAATAAGACAGGTATAGAAAATTCCAATGGTAGAAACTTTCTTGGTGGCCAATTACGCGTGTAGTCTTGCATATGTTTGATCTATAGACACCTTCAAAAGTATGTACTTCAATTTTTTTTTGACAGTGTTTGCCATATGGTTTCTCTACGAAAGTTGATTATTTGGTTTATTCCAAAATAATGTGAGAGGGGTTTTGGGCTCCATTATGAAATTCACAATTTCTCTCACATTTTTTTGGACAACAATCTAATTAATTGGGAAGAATCCAAGTCATGATATACAGAACTTTAATCAATAATGTTAAAAATATCAACAAACTTTAAACTAAATGATGGGATCCACACATAAACTTTCTCGCTTAATAGGTTATTAGGAGTATTATACTAAATTAGACGACTTTTAAATTTATATACAATGATGTGTTCTACTAATGTTCATTATTGATTAGTTTAAAAATTAAGAGAAAATTGCAAATACATGGAACATTGGGAAAAAAATTACACTACAAACAAATTTTTATTTATTTATTTATTTTATGTAACTCTGACACACAGGAAGAGTTGCACCAAGCACATGAATGAATTTGCACCATACACATAGGAGAGTTGCACTAATATGAAAATGCAATTTTCCCAAAAAACAATCACATAAGGCCATCTCCAATCCTTCATTAAATATTTCATCAAATTTAAATTTGATAAAAAAATTAGTTAAAATGGTGCTCCAACTATTTCATCAAATCAATATCAAATGAAGAGAGAGTTAAATTTTTCATCAAATGAAGGGAGTTTGTGACCTTTTATCAAATTTTGTAGGTGGCATTTGAGCCGAATGTTCTCCCAGACCACCAAGGATCCTCTAGAGTGAAATTTTTCTAAAGTTTCCTAGAGTGTTACATTGTGTGGTTGAGATTTACTGGTAAGTCACATCAATTTTTCTGATATGACTTACCAGTAAATCTCAACCACACAATGTAGTACTCTAGGAAACTTTAGAAAAAAATCACTTTAGAGGATCCTTGCTCCTCCCAGACAACCGTGTTTTCTTTATTTGAATGTCAAATTTTACTCATGGTCAAATGTTTGCCTGAATATCCTTCTGAACAATCAGACTTGTAACAAAATTTGATGAAAATTTTAAATTTATCATTGTATCGTATCAAGTCAATTTTTTTTATCAAACGAAGGATTGGAGATACTCTAAAAACTATTTTTTTTTTGTCATATTACTAAATTTAAGATTCATGTTTTAAGAATATTTAATATTTTTATACGGATGGATGTGGAAACTTGTGAATTTTGGATGCCATGTAACCCCCCCCCCCCCCCCCTTTTTTTTTTTTTTTTTTTTTTTTTTGATGCTAAATAAGCAAATAGATTGAATTTAAATAAGGTTTTATTACATTTTATATTCTTAAACTATCGTCAAATTATTTATTTAGTGTCTGAATTATTGATTGTGTCTACTAGATCCTAAAATATATAAATCAAAAATTATTTAGTCCCTAAACTATCGATTGAATCCATTAAGTCCCTAAAGTATTTAATTCAAACTTATTTAGTCTCTAAAAGAATTATAAAAACAAAAGATAAGCCTATAAATATTATAAATTAGTAAAAGATTCTATCTAGTTAAAATTTTATTTAAAAAAAATCGTAAATTTTTATTCTGTCTTTAAAAAGTGGGTGTCAATTCTAGGGGTGAGTATCGTTCAGATTGGTTCGGATTTGGATGAAACTAGGACCAATCCGTTATTTACGGTTCCTGAAAAATTGGAACAAATTCATTCTGTTTAAATCGTGAAACCAATCTGAACCAACCCGTTTAAACACGGATTGGATCATTTTAGGACCACGTATTTACATGATTAAATAACAAAAAAATATGAGGAGTGATGGAGACCCCCTTCAATCACCACCCCCACACACATGTGGCAGGTGGTGATTGGAGGACAAGGGAAACAAAAAAAAAATTAAAAAAGAAAATCCAACCAATGAGAGAGAGAGAGGGGGTCAAAGGGGGTGGGAAAAAAAAGGGGTCTTAGACATTTTTGAAAAAATATAGAACATTTTAATTTCATAAAAACATAAACATAACATCAAACAAAAGCAAAAAATAAAAACAACAAATAAAAGTAATAAAACTGGATACACATTACACAAAGCAGAGTTCTCCTCTTTATTAAAACTAAACATAGTATCAAACAAAAGTAATAAGAAAACTGATTCTAGACAAAGAAAAGCAACAAAACCCCATGAACAGAAGCAACAAATAAACAAAAACATAGCAGCAGCATGGAATATGGGTTTAGCTTTTATATGGAATAAGAAATGATATTATGTGGGAGGGTTTATAGTATAAATATAGATTATTTGTATACGGTCCAGATCGGTTCCAATCCAGAATCGTGGGGTTCAATCCGGAACCGATCTGTGGCGTACAGATTTTTAAATTCTCAATCTGCAACCGAACCACGGATTCAAAAAATCAATCCAAACTTATCGGATTGGACTGGACCAGATCGGATTACGGATTATACGAATTTCTTGCTTAGCCCTAGTCAATCCATATATATTGAATTTCCTTTATATGGATAAGAATAATTATCTATAGTATTTTATTAGTTATCTTCTACAATAGATACGTGCTTGCTTTTATCTAGTATTATATTTCAAACTTTATTTATAATTCTAATCGATTGTTTTTAAATTTTTCATTAAGTGTTTTTTATTACTTAATTAATGTATTATTTTGTTCTACTTGTAAATAAGTGTTATTATTTAAATTATTTAATTCTACTTCTTCAGTATATCTAATATTTATATAATTTATTAGCAAGACTAAAAAAATCATATTATAATATTAATTTAAACACATAACGAAATAAAATACCTTTTAAAAACAAAATAAAATTTTAAAAGATTTTTTTATAATAAAATTTTAATTGGAGATGGTCTTTTACTAATTTATAATACGTATGAGCATATATTTTATTTTTGTAATCCTTTTAAGGACTAAATATATTTTGATTTATATAATTTAAGGACTTAGTAGACACAATCGATAATTCAGGAATTAAATATATTTTGATTTATATACTTTAATGGACTAAATAAATTTAATTGATAATTTAAAAACTAAATAAACAATTTGATTATAATTTAAGAGTTGAAAGTGTAATAAACCTTTTAAATATAGGCGTAAGAAAATCTGTGGTAGTAAGCCCGTCTAGTATCATTATTCAGTTGATTTGCAATACATGAATATAGTGAAAAATGTGCACTTCATTAATTATCTGGTTGTCTCCAATTCCATTCATTAGTGTCATTGACATAATAGATGTCATTTCTTATCTTGATTTGCTAGTATATCGACATACTGATACATCTCCTCATAGACAAATGATCAATTATTGTCACTTTCAATTTGTTTGCGAGGTCCTGGAATCACCAATAAGATTACAAAATTCATAAGGGTAATGTTAGGGATCCTAAATGTTCTATTAACATTTTTATCAAATGTTTCATATGAGTGTGGAACTCACATGAGACCCACATGATGTGAGTCCCACACAGATGTGAGATATTAGATAGAAATGTTAATAAAACATTTGAACTCCCTAACATTTTTTTTTTCCGTAATCAGCTGCTTCACGAAATAAGAATAAGTTTCAACGTCTAAATTATTCAAACTCAAGCCAGAGCATGTTTAACCCATCTCCCAATGCCCATAATTTTGCTGCAATGCTCAAATTTGCTCAATGTTTCTACAAAAACCCTCAATCCATCTCCCTAATTATCCCTAATAATCCCTCCACCACTGCTGTTTTCATTATGAAGGGAGGGAAGGAACATAACATGGCCGTTTTCGTTCTTTTTTGCTGACACACAACAACAAAGTACTGTCTACATTGATAAAAATAAATAAATACTCAATACTTGCATACTTATTTGACTGCCTCATACTAAAGACTCAATACTTGCATAATTATGGAACATAATTTACAATAACACAATCAAATACAAGGTCAATCAAATTTCAATTGGATGTCACTCATACTCTCTAACACATGCTCTTATCTTCACAACCTTTTTAAGGAAAATAATTTTATTTACCCAAATAAGAGGTGAGCGAATAAAACTTTCCTTTTTGTTGATTAAAATAGTGAGGGGGGCCATTTAATGCATTCACTGCTTTGACTAATAAGAGAGGAAGATTTTATTCACCCACTCAAACTCTTTTCCAGATTGCTTCAAAATTTCTAAATCGATCAAATTCTAAATTGGGGTTGGATCAATATGAAATTTTGTAATATCAACAATCTCAATCACTTTTTTGAGAAATACTAGACGTCTAAGTAAAGAGATCTATTCATATTATCAGAAAAAAGAAAAGAAAAAGAAAAGAAAAGGTATCATTTGATAACATTGTTACTACTATTTTTGTTTACAAAACAAAAGTAAAAATAAAATACAAATTAATAGACAAGTGAGAGGACGTGATACAAAGTGGCTGCTAGGAGGGTTTTTGGAGATGAGAAGTGGTGGCTCAAAGGTGGGGTGATTTATCACAGATAGTCGCCTAACGGCTGCAAAGGGTGGCTAGAGGTCTAGGGACTTGCCAACAATGGCTGAATGTGGGGCACTTGCCAGCAGTGGCCAAAGGTGGTGGCTATGGTAGTGACATACAGTCCGTGGTAGCCGGAGCGGGTAAAGGAGGAAGGAAGGAAGAAATTAAATTTGTATTTTTTTTTTAAGTAAAAATAATTTTTTTTCTTTAGTAGAATTTAATAAATGATGTAAACTGTTTTAATTTAAATAAAAAAAAAAAAGACACCAAACAAGTTTTTGTTTTCAATTTGCTTTTGTTTTTTTATTTTTTATTTTTATAAATACAAATAAAAACTTTTAAACATACATGTTATGGAACAAGGCTTCTCATTCAACATCTTAGTGTAACATACTAATTAATTTGTATCCGTTGTTCAAGTCATAGAATAGATTAAATTAAATAATAAAAAGTTGTTCAAGAATGAATCGGATTGGAATTGTCCATCTTCGCACAAAGTCTAACCCACCTGAACTTTTCATAAATTTCAAAAAAAAAAAAAAATTGACTACATTTGTCTCATATTTCTAAATGTTCATCACCGAAATTACATACTGCGAAAGCCATTCATAACACAGTTTGGATCTCCTCCTGTATAGTTCTTTCATCTCCTCAATTTATCAATGCATGGCATAATGAACCATTTGAACATCTCCTTTTACATCAACAACATAAAGTATGCCATCTAACATGTCGCTTTACTTGCAACCATTTTCTGAAGAAAAAAACAATCATCATTCTGCTCCACAACAAAACCATAAAAATTAAACCTGTAATCGCTCATCCAGCTTCGTCTGGTCAGGTAAGCATGTAAGGCGTTCTCTTTTTCAACCACCTTCTTCATCTGAAGTTCTTATCTCTGCATTGCCTGTATAAGAATTTTAAACTTTCCCTGAGTGATTTTATCTTCCTCAACTAGATCATGTACATTGCTGCAGATAAAATTTTAGCCATAACAGCTCCATTTAGAAACAATTTCAGCCGTATCATCCAACGCCTTCATTTGTAAACGAATTCGTTTGAGCTCTGAATGAATCTCCTCAATATTTGGATGAGAAACATCTCCTCCCAAGAAAAAATGTACTTTATTCCCGAACTCCATCCAACTATATGCCGGTTGCTTTTTAACTCCTTTCTCTTTCATCAAACCCCTCACTCTCCTAACTTCTTTCCACATCCCAGCAGCAGCATATATATTAGACAAAACTATGAAAGCCCCAGAATTCCGACAATCCAATTCCACAATTTTTTCAGCAGCTAATTGCCCTAATTCTACATTGGAATGAGCACGACAACCCGCAAGAAGGGCACCCCAAACCCCTGAATCTGCTTCAAATGGCATTTCGTGGATCATCTTGTAAGCCTTCTCCAACTTACCAGCTCGGCCCAGTAAATCGACCAAACAAGCATAGTGCTTAGGCCTAGGGCTAATTTTGTAATTTTCTATCATTGAATCAAACCGGTGCAAACTCTCATTCACCATCCCTGAATGACCACATGCAGATAATAAACTAAGAAATGTTATTCCGTCCGGATCAAATCCACCCAATCTCATATTGTTGAAAAAAGCAAGAGCTTTCCCATAGAGGCCATGCTGTGCAAAAGCAGCAATAATGGTGTTCCACGAAACAAGGTTTGGATTCCCAAGATGTGCAAAAGCCAACTCAGAGTCAAAGATGCCACCACACTTGCTGTACATGGTAACCAAAGCGTTACATACTGAGACATGTGAGTCAAACCCATTTTTAAGAATGATTACATGTGTTTGTCTTCCTTCTTTTAGTGATGCAAGACTTGAACAAGCAGTAAGAGCTGAAACAAGAGTGGAGTGGTCTGGTTGCATACCCCTCCTAAGCATTTGTATGAGTAACTTCAGTGCCTCCTCACCTCTCCCATTTTGTGCACAACCTGTAAATACAAAAAGTGTGTTTTATACAAATTGAAAAGCTGTATGCATGCTTGGAAAAATCACCGTGATCGCAGGTCTGCTTTGCTCTAAGGTTGATGCAGCTACAACCATTTAAGTACCTTCAACCAGTTGGAAGTCTTAGCTTGGAAAATTATGGCCATATAGGTTTCAAGATTTGGAGATGTTGTAAATAATGTGGCAAACCCAGTCTTATCAAATCGAAGCCCCTAAACAGTTGGATATCATTCCACGGGTAGGAAAAAAGGCCCTTGGGTAATACCAAAATAGGTGGTTGCCTAGCCTTAAAAGCAGTCGCCTAGGGACCAGGTGCCTGGCCGGTTAGGATTTCTAAAGGTAGTCACTTAAAGAATGCTTTTTTATTTATTATTTCTAGACATCCACAGCTTAACTTGAACATGGTGCCCTAACATCAGTTTGATATGAAAACACCATAATACTTACATAAATCGTATTTGACGTACAATGTTGTAATTCATTTGCCTCTCTTGCAAGTGGAAACCTTAATAACAGTGCCAAAAGCCCATAAAGGACTATATATAATATATACTGGGAAAATATGTATCAAATGCTTAGGAATTGGCCTAACTCAACCGGTACAGTATTATAATATAGCAAGGAGATAGGTTGAAACTTAGATACCACAATTGATGATCAATTTTGATAAAATCACGTAGAAGGTATGAAAAATTAACAACTCTACTATAACACCAAGATAACACACAAATTCAAGACATAATGGTCAACAGAAAGGTGCTCAGACTAAACATGTTCAGGTTTTGGTCAGCCTACCTTCAGGGAGATCGTCCATAAAGCACTTAACTTGACACCTGACATTATGTGGTTCTAAGCAAGCTCAAGGTTATTGTTCCTATTTCACGTAAGATTGGGGAAGCCCCTAGACTTAAGCCAGGTATCATCATTACCTATTTTAATTGCCTAGTTGTCTTGATGACCTTTGTCAAATCCTAAGGATCATTTTATTTCGAATAACATTCATCAATAAAAGGTGCTGTTGCTATTACATACTGATTATGCATATGTGCTGCTTTTTTGGAAAATCTGCCAAAACAGTGCTCATACTCGTAAACTCATTCCAATTTGAAAGCTCATAATCATATGGGTTGAGTTAAGATGCTACAAGTTAGCACAGAAGGTTGAGGTAAACCACTGGGTTAAGATTTGTATAAGTCATTAAGAAGCACTTCCAATCATAAGAGGTGACCTGTTATGGCACTCAATATACCTGTTATCATTGCATTATAAGAGACGAGATCCCTGGACTGAATTTCTTGGAACAAAATCCTTGCATTTTCCATCTTTCCCTCCTTACAGTACCCTGTGATCATAGCAGTCGTTGCAACAACATTCTTATTTGGCATTTGATCAAACAATTCCCTAGCCTCATCAAACCTCCCATTCTCCACATAGCCACTAATCATCACAGTCCAGGAAACAGCATTTTTACGCGGCATGCAGTCAAACAAAGCCCTCGCCCGCTCAATCTCCCCGTTTTGAGCATACCCATCAATCATTGCAGTGTAAGAAATCACATTCCTCCACGGCATTTCGTCAAAGAGCCTACCAGCTTCCTCTATCCTACCACACCTGACAAAACCCGAGACCATCACATTCCACGAGGCAGTATTTCTTTCAGGCATGGTGCAAAAATACTCGAAACCGTCACCTATCCTCTCATTCTCAAGACACCCTGCAATCATTGAATTCCAAGTAACTATATTCCTCACAGGCATCAAATCAAACAACTTCTTCGATTCGTGGAGGTACCCATTCTGCCAGTACCCAGTTAACATGGCATTCCACGAGACGACATCTCTTGTGGGCATTTCATCAAACAATTGGCGGGCAGATTCAACCTTGCCAGCGCGTGACAGAGCACCAATTTTGACATTGCAATCATAAACGCATTGGGCTGAATGGAATCTAACGGCTTGGAGAAGAAAATGGGGGGTAAAGTAACGGTCAAGGAAGTGGAGGGAAAGGGTGGGTTGGGGGGTGAGAATTTGAATTTTGAGCATGAAAGAATTACATTGGCGAAAGAAGAGTTGTTTTGAAAGGCAGAGGACAAGCATAGGTATCCTTGGATGACTTTTAATTAATGTCCTGATGGAAGTTGTACCAAGTGCTTCAAACTTGTGAGACCAACTGAACAATAATACTCTGTTTGGTTTTGCTATTTTCAAAAACAATTTGAGTTTTCAATATTTTTTGGTTTTTAATGATTCTTTTTTTATTTTATTTTATTTTAAATTCACTTAATCTAAATACATCTAAAAAGTATAAAATTTGTAAAAAAATCTTTAAATAATTCACTAAATATATATATATTTTCAATATATTTTTGAATTTTTTTTTATTTATTGAATTTCTTTTAGTTTTCTTTATAAATATTTTATTTTTTAAGTTCATTTATTGGATTAGGTGCACCTAAAAAATATAAATAAAATTAATAAATTTTAAAAAATTACTAAAAAAGATAATATACAAAATAAAATCTCAAAATTTATTTTTAAAAACTATTCGAAACTCAAAATTTGTTTGATGTCTGAGTGGGCCTATCCACTATAGGTAGGTATGTGTAAATATATTCTGAATTCATAGGAAGTTAGATAGAAACAAGAGTGTAAATATAAAATATACACAAACTAGAAGGTTAATTTTGAAAAAAAATTACTGAAATATCTCTTTCAAACTTTAGTTAAAGTCCCTCAATAATATTATTAGATGTGAAGAGTTTAAATTTCTTTGTGAATTTTTTTTTTTGAAAAACTAAAATTTCTCTGTGAAAAAATAAATTTCTCTGTAAAAAGTAAAAATTTCTCTTTCTCTATGAAAAGGATAAGAGACTCTAATTATTATGAAAATATTGTATTTCTTTTATTTTATAAAATTTTAATATCAGATACCTTAAATAAAAAAACTCCATAATTCCTCTCATAGTTAACTCCAATCATATTAGCTGACTAGAGCTTTGACAACATCAGGGGGGTCTTCAAGGACCACCCCTAAGCTTGCTAGCTTGACTGCACATTTGTTCCCTTCTCTGAGAGTGTGTTTAATGGTTGTATTTACATCTCTTTAACAAGAACTTTGCATTCTCTATCAATGCTTCGTACGAGGAGTTGCGGCTTGCTTGCTCTATTCTGGATTTGACTTATGACCATTTCAAAGTTTGATTCTATCTCCACCTCTATGATGCTTTTTAGAATAAAATGGTAAGTCATCTGTAAATTGTTCAAATTTCTTCTTCCAAGCTTGAACAATTGCCTAACTTGCCATAATATCTCCATATCCAACTTTCAACTTCATCCCTCAGAAGTCCTTCATAGCCGGCTTTATCCTGGATTGCCTTTTGAATAATTATGTGTTGAGCTTGAGGTTGCTAAGTATGGTTAGAAGTCCCTCATAGTCGGCTTTATCCTGGGTTGCCTTTTGAGCAATGTTGTGTTGAGCTTGAGGTTCAATCGGATTGTTAATAGCAGGCCTACCCTGAAATTTCTGGGACCCAAAGTCGATAATCAATTAATAAATATCACTAAATCATTTTGGACCCTTCACATTTTTTTTTTTTTCCATTCAACAAATATTTTTTAAAGGTAAAAAACAAAATATTTGTGTCAAACTCACAAAAAATACTTAGCATTGCATTACAATAACTAACAAGTATCACTTGATCCTCACTCTTTTTGCATTTTCAGAAACAAATAAATAAATCATACTTGCATAATCTAGTTTTTTTGCAAAATTATTTTCAATGGATAACAATGCTAATCCATTTAATCTTTCTTGTGACATAGTTGATCGAAGGTAATTTTTAATCATTTTCAACTTTGAAAGGCTTCTTTCCCCCGATGCAACTGTAACCGAAATAGTCAAAAGTATCCTATAAGCAACCCATGAATTTGGGAAACAATTTGCCATCGAGAATGGATGATTGAGCACTTCAATTAGTTTATTGACTTCTTTTGGTAATCTCTCTTTCAAGACTTTTAGTCCCATCAATATCGGAAATCTCACCATATTTTAAAAATTCTTCAAGGTTTTTACACACCTCGCTTTCAACGATTCATCACTGCACTTTTTCAAGTCAAACAAAAAAGCCAAAGTTTGCCTCATATACTTTGAATTGTTTGAACCTATTTTTGAGTGAACGAAGGGCTTGATCAACAAAATAGAAGAAGTAATCAACTCTAAATGATTCTTCAGCCAACTGGGTTACCTCTTCGCTAACATTCTCATCAAATTGTTTCTTTCTATAAATGATGCGCTTTTCAACAAATATATGTTCAATTCCCAATTCACTTGCCATTTCTTTAGTTTCAACCATAACCTCCATGAAACCAACTTCATCATACTTAACAAGCCCATCTAGCTTCTTTACAGCAAATACGACATTCATATCTTTACTTTGAAGAAGCTTGTTAATAGAGTTCACATGAAATAACAAATTGTACCAAATTATAATACTAAACAAGAACTCAAAAGTCTCAAATTCATGAGTTGCTAGGAATTTAGCTTCACTTTTTGCAATTGAATCTGTGGTAGGATTGTTGTACAAGTCAATAAAAGTATCTCTTATTTTTGAAGCATGGTATCTTAGTGGTATAACACTTTCAATGCGACTTTCCCAACGCGTTTGAGACAATGACTTAACCATGAGGCCTTCGTTTAGATTATCTTTTAAAATTGCTCATTGTTAAACGGAAGATGAAAACAATACACATATGCACTGTATCACACCAAAATTTTTTTTTGCTTTAGAGCAAGAGTTGGCCATATCACAAAGCACAGGTTAAGAATATGACAATCACACGGCGCATAGAATGCTCTAGGATTTACTTGAAGTACTTTTGTTTGAACACTTTTGTTTTTGCCTTTCACTTTAGAGCCATTGTCATATCCTTTCCCTTTTAAGTCACCAATATTAAGTTGAAGGTTAACTAGCGCTTCTTGAAGTTTATTAGAACGTCTCATCCCCGATGTATCATCCACATTCAAGAATTCCAAAAAAAAACTCTTTCACCGTAATTGGACTTGTTGAAACATCCACGCATCGTACAACAAGAGACATTTGTTCTTGATGGGTTATATCCGGAGTACAATCACGTATAACCGAAAAATATTTTGCTAGTTTGATTATTGACAAAATTGCACTTTTGACTTCCCTGACCAACATTTGTATCACTTCGTTTTGAATTTTGTGACTCAAATAATGGTAATGAATCTCACCCTTTTCTATTCGCCGCAAGTGCTATTCCATCTTTGTATCAAACTTACCAATCATTTTAACTATGCTTAAAAAAAGTCCATTGCTCTCTTCATAAATCTTCTCATGACTTCCACGAAAAGGCAAGTTATTCTTGGCAAGTGTTTTCACAACTGCAATTATCATCAATAAAACCCGTCTCAAGTGTTCGCTTTCTTTGTTAACTTGTTCTTATATCCTTTTATCTATTGTTTGATGCTTTCCCAATCTTTCCTCCAACTTAATCCATTTGTTCATGCAAATAATGTGCTCGTTACCACTTTCATGGCCTTTAAGTCTCTCACCGATATATCTCCAGTCTTTAAATCCTTTGGTAGCCAATTGAGTCTTATTTCCCTCTTGCTTAAACAACTTACAACAAAAGCAAAATACTCTGTCCAAAAGTTCTGAGTATATCAGCCATTTCCTATGAAATTTTTCTCCATTTGGTAAATGCCGAATGTAATAAAAAGGCGAGAAATGTCTGTGCCTCGAAGAATCATTCTTAGGAAAGTTGAACTCACAATTTCTTCTCACAGGATCTCTTTTGACTAAAAAATCTTATAAATTCTGGTCAATTATTTTCCAAGTCTCTAGATCATCTATATTTGAATGCTCACATTCCACATTTATCTCATCATCTTGATTGGCTTATGCACTCCCAAATTCCCCATTTCCTTCTTCATCCATCAAATTTTCATTCTTATTATCCACCAAATTTTCATTCTCATTATTCACCAAAGTTTCAAATTCTTCATTATTCAAGTCTTCAACCGATTGTTCTGCTTGTTTGTCACTCGTAAAGAACTTATCAATAGCTCCTCTTTGACGCTTGACTAATTTTTTGACTTTTTTTTGGTTGCAAATCCAGACGGATAATTTCTTTTAAGAGTCATGATGAGCTAAGATCAAAATATTTTTTTTAGATCAAAACAAGTACAAAAGCACCACCGCCACTTAACAAAATACAAAACTTTTAAATTATGTGATGTGAACTATTAAACTTCTAATGTTATAATAGCATAGGCAACAAAAGATTAATTCTTCTTGATGATACAGATTTGTATAAATACCAATATTATAATAGTAATTGAACAAAAGATAAGACAAATATTTAATTAATTAAATAGAAAAAAAAACCTACTTGTGTTGTGCTGCTACTCTAAATTCTTGAGAAATTCGTTAGTGCTCTATTGTGCCCCTTCTCTTAAATTTTTGGAAAAATTGAATTAAGAGTTAGGGTTAAGAATTAGTTGGGGAGAGATAATGGGCTCTTTTAATTTTGAATGAGCCTTTTAATTTTTTATTGGGTCAATTTATTTTAAATTAGTTTGGGCCTTCTTTAATTTTTTTTTTTTGGACTTAAAATATACCAAATATATTATACTAAACTATAATAAAAAGGATTCTTTTTTTTGGTCTATTTTAAGGGGTCTTAAGCCATAACTTGCGTTGGCTAATAGATTGTCCATATTCATCTAGCATTAGATTTTTTTTTTTTGTTTTTTTTTGGTGACTCTCGTTACATCTTCACTTAGACCATCTCTAATGATTACTTAAACCTGTCATCAAATTTGAATTTGGTGAAAAATGACTCTTTTTCCTACTACCACGGTTTTTATCAAATATGTATCAAATTTAGGATTTCATTTTTCTTTTATCAAACTGAGTACCAATGTATCTTTCATAAAATTACTGTTTTATAGCCGTTTGATTTTCACCATCGGATGTCTCCCAAATGACCACCTCAAAGGCAAAAATTTATGAAAAAATTACACTGATTGGTCAACCTTCTGATCGTCTGCCTGGTTGACCCTTCAAATGACTACCTCAAAGCAAAAATTTGTGAAAAATTTACACTGGCCTATTGACTGGTCGGACATCTGCCCAATTGTCCATCCGATCGACCGATGTTCTAATGAATCTTCAAAAACCTTCATTGAAACACTTGATATCAAATGAAACTTTCACTGAAATTTTTATTCAAATTTGGTAAAAAATTTGATATACCGTTGGAAATGCTCTTACCTATCAATATTAAATTGGGGAGTTTTTTTTTAAAATCCTTGATATTAAAGTTTTACAAGATAAAAGACATACAATATTTTCATAATTGTTAAGATTCTTCAACATTTCTACAGATAAATTCAACTCAGAAAAATTTCACACAGTACCTTCAAGTACAAAAATACACTAGTATATAACTATATTTTATCTAATTTCTTTCTTACACTTTTATTTTTCTTTTCAAAATTTCTACTCGTGATCATAAATCAAACACATCATAAATATTTGAATTTTTTTTAAGGTCAAGTTTGGCAAATTGAAAAAAAATTAAAAAGTCAAAAAGTTACTAAAAAAATTAAAAAGTCAAAAAGTTACTTAAAAAATTAAAAAGTTATCACTATTCACCAAAAGTCAAAAAGTACGGCTGCACAACTCTCAATCCTAATTTTTCTCTACACACTAATTTATATAATTTCTTAATACACATTTTTCTATAAAAAAATCAAAAAGTTAACTTAAACATCCATATTTTTTTTCCTCAACTTTTTAATCCAAAATATAAAAAGTGTACTTATTTAAGACACCCTAAACAACCCCTAAATCTTTTACTGTATTAATATTTTAAATTTATAAATGAATTAATTACTTTCCTTTTAAAAAATTCTAAAAAAGTAGTATGAAGATTTTGACCTCAACAAAGCTCTTACTAAAACCTCATTTTTTTAATATATAATATATATTATACCACCCACTTTTGAAATATCACTTTAATAATTGTTATTTGAATTTAAAATAACTTTAACCATAAATTTTAGGGTGTGTTTGGTAACGTTTACATTTTCAGTTTATATTTATAAAAATTTTATAAATTAGTTTTTGTTTATTTTTAGAAAAACATAAATTACAAATACGTTTGGTAATTGACAAAATGTTTAAAAAATTTTAAAAATATAAAAAGAATAAGAAATAGCAAGTGGCGGCGGAAGACGATAGTGGAAAGTGGTGACAGTGGGGCTAAGTGTATGTAAGGTGAGTTTGAGATGAGTATGATGGGGGAGCTAAATTATTTCTTTGGGCTTCAAATCAAACAATGTAAGGAATGGATTTTTATCAACCAAGCTAAGTACACAAAAGAACTACTCAAAAAGTTTGGTATGTATGACTCAAAAATAGCCAGAACACCTATGAGCACATCCATTAAGTTAGACAATGATGAAAAGGGTAAGTCCATTGATCAAACAAAATATCGAGGTATGATCAGCTCACTTTTCTATTTAACCACAAGTAAACCCGATATTATGTTTAGGGTGTGTTTGGTAACGCTTACGTTTTCAGTTTATATTTACAAAAATTTTATAAACTAGTTTTTGTTTATTCTTTATTTATTTTTAGAAAAACATAAACTACAAATGCGTTTGATAATTGACAAAATGTTTAAAAAATTTAAAAATATAAAAAAGAGTGAGAAATGACAAGTAGTGGCGGAAGACGGTGGTGGAAAATAGTAGCGGGTGGTGGCTAGTGTTGAGTGATAAAAAAAAAAAATTCAAAACTCAAAATTCAAAACGGAAACATATTTTTTGTGTTTTTATTTTTTTGCCAAATTTATAAACTGAGATTACTAATTTATAAATAAAAAATTTTACCTAATAAATTTTTATTTAAATTTTTAAAATTTTAATAAATATAAACAAAAAATTAAAAACAAAAATATTACCAAACCAAACCTTAAAGTCCCATTTTCTTTTCTTTCATCACTTCAATATCCAAACAGAGCCGTCAGTCTCATCTAATTATATTATTCAAACCAAAATACCATTCCGCACTATACTCAAAAACTAAAACTGTGGGTTTGGTAACAAACTGGACCAGCGAATGAATAACTACGTCCCCAAAAGAGAGAAAAACCCACCTCCAAACGGAGAGAAAAACTTACCCATTTTTTTTTTTTTATCATATTATTAGGCTAAAAATAAATATTCATTAATTTTTATAAATTTTTGAATATAAACTAATATATTTTATATTTTTAAATCATTATAAATTAAATTTTTTTACATTTTATTTTAATAATTAATAATTTTATATTATATAAAAAATCAATCACTAATTATTATACATAAAATAAACAATGATAAAAATAAAAAAAAAATAAAAACCTAAATATATATTTTAACTAAACTAAATAAATAATAACCACACTTATTATTATTATTATTATTTTCAAACAATATATAAATAAACACACAAATAAAATAATTTAACACTAACAACTGAATAAAATAATATAAATTTTATAATTTCAACAAATTAATAACTTATTTTTCATCTTTCCTTTTTTCTCTCTATCTTTTACTCTTTTATTCTCTCTTTATCTTTCCTCTTCTTTCTATCCTCATTTCCTCATTTTAAACTTTTATTTTGTATTTTTTTTTTGAAAGAAACAATTTAGAACTGGTCCGTAACGGTGCGTAACAAACCGTTACAACACCATTACGACCGCTACAGCCAACACCCTTATAAATCTCAATCACATTACAAAAACAACCATACCAGATGACAATAACCACCAAAACCATTACATAATGGTATTACGTAGCTATTACAACCGCTTTCTAAAATGATCCTGCCTGTATAAAAAAAACCACCAGTTCACTACTACTCTCATTTAACATTCTCATAATTGTATCAAAGAAGCAACTCCACCATTCATCAACATCAATAAAAAATCGTAATTGAACAGAACGTAATATCAAGAAGGAAGAATTAGAGCAAACCCAACTACACATTAGATGCAAACATTAGATGATTGTTCGACCCCATTAGTGTTTGACGACAAAAAACAACTTAACAAATAAATTTGCTAGGCGCAAATCCATCCATAATAGGTCCCCCAAAAAAACATCACTGCACGCCAACTGCTACCACCCATTTCACTAGAAACTAACACTATCAATCTATATATGATTTAACAGTAAAAGAACACCAGCAACCACCAACCAACACCCGAGCACAATGCTCAATTAAGCACGCTCGCCTCTAATCCTCCTTGCCAACTGGATGTCCTTAGGCATGATTGTGACACGCTTGGCATGGATGGCACAGAGGTTAGTGTCTTCAAACAGACCCACAAGATATGCCTCAGCAGCCTCCTGCAGTGCCAGCACTGCATGGCTCTGGAAACGCAGATCAGTCTGCAACCAAAATCAACACACAACATATTACATGTGTCAAACACACAAACCAACAATTAACAATTATTACACCAAAAAATACGAAAATGTTTAACAATTGAGGACCATTCAATCACCTTGAAGTCCTGAGCAATTTCACGGACAAGCCTCTGGAATGGAAGCTTCCTGATCAGGAGCTCAGTACTCTTTTGGTACTTGCGAATTTCACTGCACACCAATTAAGAAAACAAATAATTCACTCGCTAATTACAGTTACATATATCACATAAATTGAAACATTGTCACATTCTTTGTAGAAATCAAACACTCACCGAAGAGCAACAGTTCCAGGGCGGTATCTGTGAGGTTTCTTCACACCTCCAGTGGTCGGGGCTGACTTACGAGCAGCCTGTAGCAACAACCCACTTCATCATTATTAACATAATGCAGTGCAATTGAGAGTTATAGAGAAATGAATAGAGAGAGAGAGAGAGAGACCTTAGTAGCGAGCTGCTTCCTAGGAGCCTTTCCTCCGGTGGACTTACGAGCAGTCTGCTTGGTACGAGCCATCTAATTCAACCCCAAAAATTAGTTTAATTTTCAAATTCCAAATCTTATGTCTCTCTTAAATAGTGGTTACATATTCGTAATCTGAAAAGCCCTAACTAAATGCCTCCAATCCAAACAAGAATATGTGGACAACCAAACTAAGTTAACGATCAAAAATCTCATCTTTGATATCAATAATTCGAAATTAACTAATTCTCCTACCCATATTTTCAACAAATTGTGATCTCACCAAAGAAACCCTAAATTTTAAAAAACGTACAAACCCCCCAACACTAAAATGAAGAGATGAAACTATCTAAAATAAAATAAAATGAACAAAAGATCAAACAAAACTACAAAGCACGAAGCACAAACTCAAGATCACCATGAACGAGTCAGAAAAGGCACAATAGAAACCCTAATTAGATGTTCAAAACAGGAAAATGTGACTTACCTCTAACCTCAAAAACGATCAAAGTCTTCACCCCTCCCTTTCTCTCTCTCTCAAACAAACAAGCGAACCAAAATTTTATAACGCTCAGGGGTGGATGGGTATATATAGCGGGTAGGGGGAGAGAGAAGACAATCGGACGGTTAAAATTGATTATCCATGTGCATTTTGGGTAGGATTGGACGGTGACGGGAAGGGTTAGTTGTGTTTTCTGAACTGCAGTGGACGGCTGAGATGTAAAGTTGGGGCTTCTAATCGGATCGTAAGAACTCAATACTCTATTCTTATTGGTCAACATGTTTCAACAGTATTTTTTTAAATTGTAATATTATATTTACTAATTAATATATTAATTAATTTATCCGTTGATGTTGTGCCATTAAACGCATCGTGAAGACTCATACTCGATTCTTATTGGTCCACATGTTCCAGCTGTTACGAACGTTGCTCAGAAGAGGGAAGTTAAAGCGTGACCGAGTAGGATTTCGGAGTTTGCATTCGGGCCAAGTTTGGTATAATTTAAAGGGCAAATTACATATACACCCCTCGAGGTTTGGCTAAATTACAGATGCCCCTGAGGTTTGAGAAATTACGAATTCCCCCTAAATGCTATATTTGCATAAGAAATTAGGGGGTAATTTGTTATGAAATATAAACCTTAGGGGGCAAATTGTTATGAAAATACAAACCTTAGGGGGTGGGATGTAATTTCCGAAACCTCAGGGGTATCTGTAATTTAGCCAAATCTCGAGGGGTGTATATGTAATTTGCCCTAATTTAAATGATACAAAAAATAGTAAGTTATTATTCTATTTACGTTATATCATCTTATTTAAATCACATTACTTCTTTAATACATTACATCAAATCTAACTCAAACTCAATCCATATAATCCAATAAGTCAAAAAGTGTACTTTTTTATAACATCCCAAATCAACCCTAAGAATTACCTACCCGTGTTATGCACGGATTGCCTTTATAATTATCTACATGTGTGATTTGTGATTTTTAAATATATATATTTTTAAATATTTTTTTTATATTATATTAAAATTTAATTTTTTGATAATAATCATATGTGTTAGACTTTTTAAAGAATTAAATGTCTTTTTTTTTATTATATTATATTAAAGTTTAATATTTTGATAATAATCATATGTGTTGGATTTTTCAAATAATTTTTTTATGCTTATTTTTAATGCATTAAAGTGTTATTATGAGGGGATAATAATCATATGTGTTGGGACTTTTCAATGAATTCATATGTGTTGGATTTTAAAGAATTTTTTTTTATACTTGTTCTTAATGCATTAAAGTGTTATAATAAGGGTAAGACTTGGGAGTTGAGAGAAATTAATAAATGTTAAGATTTTTTATTTTTAAATCAAAAAATCAAAAAATTTAGATTGGGAGATTGAAACTCCTATAAAACTTGGGGTTAAAAATCCCCTTTTTACTTAATATAACTAGCCTATCACCCGTGCGATGCACAGGATAATTATAGATATTTATATTTATTTTAATTTTTTTAATATATAAATTATATTTTTTAAGATTTTTTATAAAAATAATTTAACAATCTTATCACTA